ACTTCTCCTCCCTGGCTCCAGCTGCTCTGCCCCCCCCCGAACTCAGACTTCGGCTCTGTTTAAGAGCCAAGCTGCCCCAGCCAGCGCTACCGGCTTCGGGCAGCCCCCGTGCCTCTGGACCCCAGCCGCCGGCCGGGCACTTCTCCTCCCTGGCTCCAGCTGCTCTGCTCCGGCAGCGCAGGGTCCGGAGGCAAGGGGGCTGCCTGAAGCCGGTAGCGCTGGCTCGGGCAGCTTGGCTCTTAAACAGAGCCGAAGTCTGAGTCAGGGGAGGAGCAGAGCAGCCGCGGGAGAGGAAGTGCCCGGCCGGTATTTTTCCCGGACATGTTCGGCTTTTTGGCAATTCCCCCCAGATGGGGGTTTGATTGCCGAAAAGCCGGACATGTCCGGGAAAAACCGGACGTATGGTAACCCTACTCCCTATAAAATGCACAGGGAAAGAGAAGCACCTAAGAATGAGATCACAAAAGTCAACATGCTAGGCAGGGAGTGCCTACACTAGCCAATGGGGGATGCCAAGGGGTATGTCCAGACTACCCGCCGTATTGGCCGGTAGTGATCAATTTAGCGGGGATCGATATCTCATCTTGTTAAAATGCTCCCAGTTGATTCCGGAACTCCACCGGAGCGAGCGGCGGTAGTGGAGTCGACGGGGGGAGCCACGGCCATCGATCCCGCGCCGTGAGGACAGGCGGTAAGTCGGAATAAGATATGTCGTTGCGTATCTTACATCGACCCCCTCCCCAGTGTAGACCAGGCCAAGGAGAGGACACTCAATCTCTTCTGTTGAAGATGTTCCACTGTGTATAAATACTTAAAAGTCACTGGGACAGAGAGAGAGTGAGAATGACTCTAACCCGGTGAAAAGGGCATCCACCCGGAAGGTAGGAGACCCAGGCTTCATTCCCCTGGCTCCAATTACTATCTAAAGTAGAACAACTTCAACAGGAAAGACTGAGGGGAATTCACATAAGGACTATCCTACAGTCCAGTGGCTGAGGCACTTTCCTGAGAGGTGGCAGATCCCTGTTCCAATCCTTTCTCCATCACAGTCCCATCAGGATCTGAGCTGGGTCTCACACTGAGGTGAGAGCTCTAATCACTGAGATAAAAGATATGAAGTGAGCACCACCACTTCTCCCACCCACAATTTTGGATGGGATCCAATCCAGCAGGCAGCCTCTGACACGCATACTCGATTGGGCCCTGCATGTGAGATAGGCATTTGGGTTCACGCACTGCTCTAGAGCTTAGGCAGGAGACAGGTGTCCAGACACTTACAGTGAGGCAATAGTGCATATAATCAAATGCAGAAACTTAGGTGCCAAGGGAACTTTTCATGAGCAGCACATATCGTGGGCTGCGGGAGGCTAAGCCTCCCCAAACCGCCCCTCATGGCCCCGCCCATGCTCCACCCCAAGGCACCCTCCTGCTTGCCACTTCACCCTTGGCCCCAGCCCAGGAAAGCTGTTCCTCTTCCGGGAAGCGTGCTAGGGCTAGGGCAGCAGGCCTGCCTGCAGCTGGGACATGGGGCAGCCCGGCGCTGGAGCCGTGCTGCCTGGCGCTCAGGCCGTCCAGCACTGGGCTGCAGTGCCCGGAGCTCCAGGGCTGGGGCCATGGAGTAACTTGGCAGGGCTGGAGGCTTTGCGGCTGCCCGCCCTGTGCTTGGGTGGCGCTCGGGGTTGGGGGCGCTCAGGCAGGGCAGGGCAGGACAGGACTGGGGCAGCACAGCTGGCAGGCACGGGGAGCAGGGAGGAGCTCGGGGTTCCGGTGGGAGCAGAAGGAGCGGGAACCGAAGGGGCCTCGGGCAGGAGGGGCGGGGCCAGGGACTAGCCTCCCCCAAAGTTGGCTCACGCACCACCCATGGAATTTTTATAGCAGAAACTTAGGCGCTGAGAGAGATAGGTGCCTATCACATTAGACAGCTGCCGGGCGGGGCGTTCGTGGATCGTAGTGGTGCCTAACATTGGGGATTTATGGATCTGGACCTTTAGATATATCTGTAAGTAAAATAACATTAGAATGCTTATCACTGCATAAGTGCCAAACAAAACTAAAATATGCATAATCTACCTCTAGCAGTAAAGCTCTCCTTTCAAAAGGAGTTTCTCCATTGGCTATGCCCTCTTACTTGGTTCTACCAGTATCAAATATCCAAGAGGAAGTAGCTTGGAGGCAATACTAAAATAAACAAATACCTTTTTTAGCTGTCATTAAAGGTGGGAGGCTTGGGCTCAACCCCTCCTTCAGAAACAAGTTCCCTAAGCACAAAGTGTTGAGCCCTAGTGTGCATGTGGTTTTCATTACATATTTGCGTCTGCACATTCACAAAACGAACAATTTAAGGAAAGTGAGGCAGAAAGTGGCTTTTGCCAGGAGTGAGTCCACAAACCCTATAAGGTTCCCTCGTAGGAGTGTGCCCCTAACCCACATATTTGGACCGGTCAGAATCTCTTCAGTGTCTCAGGGAGACAGAGAGGTGTCCGCTACACTTACCGGGACAGCAACGCCAGCTTTTGTTCCAGCATCATCTCCAGCTTCTGGGCCTGTTTGGAGAGCCAGTGATCCACCCCGTGCAGCCGGTAACACGTCTCAAGCATTAGCCGAAAATCGGCCACGAAATCCGTGATTCCAGTGTATTGTCCACTGGAAAATTTTTCTTCCATCTTCAGCAGCCACATCCCGGCCGCTTGCTGTGCAACAGAGTCGCTGCCGCTGCGACCTGCCAGGGAGGCGGCTCCTCCTTCCTCCGCGACAGCGGCCTGGTCTCCCAGGGGCTTCAGAAAAGGAGCCGTCAGTGGCCGGTGCTTCTCCAGCAGAAACTCGCCCAGGATCCGGTAACCCTGCTGGAGCTCCGGGCTCAGGTTCTGCTGCCAGCGGCAGCGAGGGCTGCTGTCCCCCGCATTCTCCTCCTCCGGCTGCTGCTCTTCCTCCGCTGGGCCGCCGACTAGAGCTGGAGCGTCTGAAGTATCTCCGGCGGCCGGAGACTCCATGTCCCCCTCGGGCTGCGCCAGGCTCATGCACCCCGCACACGCTGGGTCCGAGCTCCGCTGCTACCCGCCAGCGACCGAGCCTGGGGACGGGCTCCTCAGCATCAGCCAGAGCCCCCTGAGGCCAGTCACTCCGCGAGCGGCGGGTGGGAGGCCGGGCTCCCCGGTGTACGGACACACGGCTCGGTCCGGCTCTGTGCCAGTCGGAGAGAAGGTGCTGCCTGCTTCCGGCTGTCTCCCATTCACAGTCACCGAGAAGTTGCCGCGGTCTGTGCCCGCACCAGCCTCCCTCCCTGCCGGGGTCTCCGCCCGCCCTAGGAAGCTCCCAGGCAGCCGCGTTTGCTCTTTGTGCCTGGTTCCGCCGCCCGCAAAGGGGTCTACGGCCTCCCCTCTCCCGGCTAACAAGGAGGCTATGGCACATAGCCGGGCATGTCTGCTGCCGTATCGGCCTCCCTCCGCCGCGGCTCGGTCTTCCCCCAGCCAGCTACGGGGGAAAGGGAAACCGCCCCCGCCAGCCGCCGCTCGGGTCTGGCCGGGCTGACCCTACCTTGGGCCGGCGAGAGAGCCGAGCCTGCCCAGCTCTTCCCTGGCCCGGGCAGCTGCTGCTGCCCCGCTCCCAGGCTCTGGGTCACCTCCCACGGGAGCTGGGGAAGCGGCCGCTCTCCGTGCCCGGCCCAGACTCCGCAGCCAAGCCCGGCTGGGGCCCCCGCTCCTCAGCCGCTAGTCGCTCGGTGCCTCGGCCAGGCTGCGGGGCCTGGGTGCGCGGCGGCGGCCGGAGCGGCGGCCTGTCTCCTCCTGCAGCTGCCTCTGGGGCCCGTGTCTGCGCTCCGGCAGCGGCGGGGACCGGCCGGGCGTCCTGTCCCCCTCCCCTCTACCCGCGGAGGGACATGGCTGCGGGCGGGGAGGCGGCGACGGCGGGAGCCGGCAGCGCTGTCAATTAATGGCCGCGGAGGGGATCGGCTCGGCCCCCCCCCCGGGCAGGTTGGGAAGGGGCGAGAGAAAGAGAGGAGCCCCCTCCCTCCAATCCAACGCGCATGCGTAATGGCAGTGGCGGCCGCGAAATAGTGCGCTGGTTGTTTTGGATGCCAGCTGAGATGCCGTCATTAGACAGCGACTTCTTGTGGGACGGAGTGCGAATCTAAGGCGCATGCGCTGTCTGGGGGTATTGCCCCCGGGCGGGTAAGTCAGTGCGCATGCGCGTTCTGAAGACGGCGCTGAGTATGCCCTTTGTCAGGAGCAGTGGGGCTGGCTTCAGCCTCAGGGTAGAGCGGCCTGGCAGCAGCTAGGGTGCTGCTGGAGATAGGTGCACCAGAGCCACCCCTTGCTGAAGTGATGGTGTTTGCACGCTATGGGCAAGACCAGAATACTGCTGTCATCATTTTGCAGCTCAGCCACTGCAATTTTCTCTGCTCTGGCTTTGACAAATGCAGCCTTGGCCAGCTCATCTCGCGTCAGCGTGCTGTTGCATTGGTCATTGTCGTTTTGTATCCCTCCACCTGCTTCCCCCTTTATTAGCTCATCAAATGGAGCTGCTTCTGTTCACTGCCAAGGCCTGTCTCACCTCCTGCCCATCCTCTCTCGTTTGCTATCAAAACGTCAGCTCCCGCCTCTGATCCACTTAGGATGCTAACTTTAATCTCCCACTTGTTGCATTCTCAGACAATTTTGTGCTTCACACTTTGTTACATAATGGGCCTGAGGACAACAATATGGTCTGCAAATGATCTCAGTGGTCTAAATCCTGCTTGTTTCTCTCTGCATTGCAAGTCTATTTGTTTCTTGATACATTCCAAGCTGATGTTGCACATGATTTTCCCAGGCATTAAGAGTAATTTGTTTCCTCTCCAGTTATTGCAGTTGGTAATTCTTTGGCTATTTTACAATAAGGCCTCCCTTCCAGTGGGTTGGGTTCTTTTCTCCATTCCATGTTCTATCCAAAAACAAGGAAAGTCTGGAGGATTGTTTTGTCACTTGCTTTAAGCATCTCTCCAATAATGTTATCCTCTCCATCTGCTTTTCAATTTACTGATAGTTTTAATAACTTCTTCCACTATAATATCTCTTAAATCAATATCAAGCTCTAGTGTAGGCCTGCATCACATATTTATAATAGTTTGCTTGGGCTATTTAAAAGAGCCTGAAAATGTTCTGCCCATCTTTTCCTTTGTTCTTCTCTGTATTAAGAGTCTTTCCATGTGCCTTTTGAATAGGGCCTCCAGTACTGTTAAAGCTTCCTGTTAACACTCGTATAAGACTATCAAACAGCTAACTTACAGGCAGTCATTCATCTTTGACAAAGTATTTCAAACCCTTTCCTCAGGCTCTATCCTCCTTGGCCACAGTGTCATTCCGTTCTTGGGTCAAGTGAGAGTGACCTCACTCCCTAGGTCAGGTTCTTTGTTTGATAGCCTTCTTTAACCAGGTCAAACTAATACATCAATTTGCCTAGGGGGTTAGGCTTCCTCAAATAGGTTATTACCCTCCCCCAGTGATTTTAGTTCCTGTAGGAAACTCCTGTAACTCCCTCATGGAGCAATAATACAATCCCTAGCCCACAATTATACATACAACATTTATAAAGTTGACACAGTAGTATTTTGAGATGCCAAGTATCTATAATATCTCTCTCATCTGTACTATAGCCAATCCACAAAAATCCAAATTAATACCAAAAGTAATTTTCAACATGTTGCACCTAGAAAAAGACAGCTAAAGATACTAACATAATCATCAAAAACACTCCTCTCAAAGTGAAGAGTGACATTTTCAACACCTTCCAAGTTTTGTCGTCTAAGACAGCTGCAGATTTAGTGGCATCCAGGGCCAACCATAGTGATGTTTTTGCCACCAGTTGACCCTCCCGAAAGATGGCCTTGAAGGATTCTCACCTCTCCGGCTGCTTATCAATAAAGTCAATAAAGTTTATTGTACTTTGTGTTATTGTATTTTGCTGTGAGCACCTGGTAATTGGCAATATGAAATTGTAAGGTGGCCGAGGAATACGCCTTCCTGCCAAAGGCGCTTCCAGTCCCTGTCATAGGGCTTTGCCCTGGAATGATGTTGTCAGCCTCAAGAGTTTACAGCATCCACCATGATGGAATTGGGAGGTGGGTGGGAGAAAAGGAACTCTGATTCATTGGTGAGGACATAATATTTCTTGTCTGCATGCTTGCATGTTGGGCTACCAATGCCGGAGTTTGCCACACCGGTGTAGCTGGGTCTAAGATGCCCTTGTTGATTGGGAGGGTGAGTTCTGAGGAGGTCAAAGAGTGGAGGTTGTCAATGCGCTGGTGGTGTGTCTTTGACCTCCTCCAATGGTATTTGGAGGGCATACACTACTCTTTTTGCCAGCTCCTGGAACAAACAAAAGTTGTCTGCCATGAATGGGGGTGAGGGCTTGTTGTCTGTTTCCTGAGGCTCTGAGGCCCTCAATGCTCTGGCTGAAGGAGCGTGCCTGGAGGGTTATCAGGCGATGCTTGAAGCTCACGAGGCAGGCTGTCGGTGTGCCACCCAAGGGTCCCAGTATGGTCATTGCGGTGGCATAGCACCTGGTGGAGGTGCCCATGGATGGCTGTACCAAGATGGTGGAGGTGCCATCTGCTGGTACATTCCTGGACCCTGTTGATAGGGGGTTCCATATGGCACTTGGAAGGAGTACTGTGAAACCTCCTCAGGCTCACTATCTGACCCCTCACTTAACAGTGAGGGGGCATGGCATGATTGCGAGGAAATGCCCCATGCCCAGCCAAGGCTCGGTGCCATGATCTTGGTACTGAGGGGCGGAGAATTGGATGTCTCCGTCATAGCCAGGTCACTGGCCTGATGGAATTCCACCGATAGTATCGGTCCAATACTAATCGTCATGGTGGCCGTGCTGGGGAGGATGAAGTCCTCATTTGTACCAATCTCTCCAGTGCTGAGTGGGCTATTGTCACTGGCAATACCAATGTGGATTTGCGTACCGGGAGTGTCTCCTTAGGGTGTTTGCCCTATCGGTACTGAAAATTAGGAGCCCATGCCCAAAGGGTCTGTGGGCCCATCAGCGGCACCAGATACTGATGGACACTGTAGGGCATGGGTGTCAGATTGTGGTCCCAGGTCTGGCGGTGCTGAGGATACCAAGGTAGATGGTGATCACTTACAGCTATTCCTGGACTCGCTGAGGGGACTTCCCACTCTATTTTTTGACTTGTGGGAGGAGTCCTCAGTCTGTTTCTTTGACCCACTATTCTTCAAACTTGAAGGCTGAGGGGAAGACTCACACCCACCGGAAAGTTGGGGTCAGAACGCTGCCTGCATAAAGACGATTTTTTGCCAAAGCTCTCTGTCTTTGCAGGATCTTGGCTGGAGCTGCAGGCAGAGGGAACACTTTTGTTGGATGTGGCCCTTGCTGAGGCAGATGCTCTTGGAATGCTTTTCCACAACAGGGATTGCCTCACTACAAGTGCAGCACTTCTTAAACCCCGGAGAGCTGGGCATACCCTTGTCCAGGGGAGTCCCTCCGCCTCCCCCACACCAGTGGTTGACAAAAGAATGAAATCCTTCCTTCCTTCCCTTTTTTTTTTTAAGGCAATAGCGTAGTAGAAAAGAGGAATGAGGAAAAGAAAAAAAGAGGTTTCAAAGGAAGCTAAAAATTGAAGTTCTCCGATCAGCAGCACAGGGATGCAGACATGCCTACAGGGAAGCACCCATAGGGACACTACACAAAGGAGAACACTATTACTTTTAGGGAATGTGCATTTGTAACTTCCTGTACGGTTTCGCCCTGGTATTATCCCCTGATGTGGGCTGAGCACTTGCTCTACTTCAATAAAAGTATCGCTTTGTAGGGAGCACTGTCCATTTCTGGGGCTACTTCCGACCTCCCCAAAGGGGTACCACTACGCTGGAGCAGTTTCAGGTGGATGGGCTAGGTCATGTTATCCCCTCAGCCAACACCAGGGTGCTCCTGCCTGCCAACTATAGTATTTTGTCCAAAAGAAAACAGCACCAACTTAGTTCAGATTGTTTTATAAGGTACTTTTCATCTGTTCAAGGAAGAGTGAAGTGGCCACACATTTGGCTGTAACCGAAAATCATCCACTTCCAAAAATAGGTTTTCTGATGCTAGAACATACATACATGAAAAATATTTCAAAGGTGCCCAGAATCATACCATGGTTCCTAGGTTCTCAGTAAATTCACTCTGGGAATTAAATTTTATACTAGTCAAGCCAAAGCCAAAGGGCAGACTGTTGGGTAAGTTATAGAATCATAGAAATGTAAGACCGGAAGGGAGATTGAGAGGTCATCTAGTCAAGTCCTCTGAAATGAAGCAGGACCAAGTATACCTAGACCAGGCCCGACAGGTGTTTGTCTAATCTGTTCCAGTGATGGGGATTTCACAACCTCCCTTGGAAGCCTATTACGTTTCTGAACTATCCTTATAGCTAGAAAGTTTTTCCTAATATCTAACCTAAATCTTCCTTGCTGTAAATGCAGTAAATTTCTTCTTGTCCTACTTTCAGTGGAAATGGAGAACAATCACTGTACTCTTTTTAACAGCCCCTAACATACTTGAAGACTGTTATCAGGTTATCTCTCTGTTTTATTTGCTCAAGAAGTTTTATGTATGGTTTAACAAAATATTTCTAAGGTGCCTATAATTTTGGAATCTAGAAATTTCCATGATAATTTTGGTAAACCTTAGTTTGGGAAGAGCTTTTACTCCCTGTTGCATAATCCCTTTGCTCTTCTCAAAACAGCTGTGAGTAGAGGACACATTGTGTAGTTCTTGGTGGGGGGAGGCTGCATGGGTCTGTTTTCTTTAGAGGCTTCTAATGAACTCCCACTTATACCTCAGTATGTAGCGAGGTTAATCTAGTGTCTGTTTCAGTGGAGGCCTGTATAGCTGCAACAGGCAATTTTCTGTTGGCACATTTCAGACACCACACAGTCTCAGCCTCCTAGTCATGGACCAAGACCTCTTATCTCCACTCACACGAGTGATCCCATTTTACTCACTTTACAGTTGTATAAGTGGCTACACAAGTTTCATGGT